CGGGTCGAGCCGAGAAGACTAAGAGAAAGTGAAAGGGAGGACACAGTGGGTGTTTCTCAATCGCGAGTAAAGCTGCTTCAGAGCCACTATTTCAAGCATACGTCATCCAGTGCCGCCGAAGTACTGTTCCAATCTCCAGTATACTTGGAAATCTACCGAGCCCGGCGTACTCCGTTTGGAGAAATATCGTGTGCACATGAGTAGACTTCGGTCTTAAAATCCCCACAATGCTTTGCGCACGGACCAATTTCCCCAAATCTGTGGCAGAAGATGTAAGGCGGGGCCTCTCATATGACGCACACTTGCTAGCGTGTTCCTCTGTTTTCCGAATGTCAGGAAGTATTCTTGACTCGCTTCTGAAGCAAGATGCTCGGCAGACATGTCTTACCAAGCAAGCGTACTCGCGATTGAGAAACACCCAGTAGGTACACAGTAGGTACCGTCAACACATGTGTCCGTGCGGAAACAATACCCCCAACCTGTAGTTCCTGGATTGAATTATGTAACCCCAGTGTATGAATCAGTGATCACTACAATATGTACATTGTAAACCTGTAACTGTGTTGTATGATGTCCTTTTAGTTTTTCTGTTGTTTTGTTTTCTGTCTTCATGTGCAACCTACTGCTGCAGGTCTCCCTTGAAAAAGAGATCGATGATCTCATTGGGATTCACCTGGTTAAATAAAGATTTGAAATGAAAACGTGTTTTGTGTCCCATGGCTAAAAATGATAATACTTCTGTAAACACAAGCATTTAAAAAAATTAAAATAAATCCAAACCAACGCAAGGCCATCCCCTTTTCACTGTTTCTACAGAGCAGTTGGTTGCTGCAGTTTAAGTTGAAAGCATTTGTAAAAGTTTTGCAATTTCACCAAAGCAACATTCCAAAAATAAAGACAGATTTACAAAGCCTTTGTGAAAGCACAGTTTATTGGTATATTGACATTAAGAAAAGCAGCAGTCAGTCATCTGTAACTGAAGACCTGCAAAAGCAAAAACATTTGTGAATCATTAGTTGGATGATGGATACAGAAACAGGGCATTTAGCAAATTGTGTCTTACCAGCAAGGTCTTTAGAAGACATATTTGCGTTGAGCGTTAGCAGCAGCACTTTCCCTGGGGTTGCTGTTGTGTCTGGGTAGTGGCATGGGCCAGGGAACAGGCTCTCCTGGGATGTAGCGGGTTTGAGCAACTTGTGACCTTTTGCGTTGGTATCTCGAACGCGAGCTAAAGGAGGAGACTGGCTCCAGACCAGCCACCTCGCTGAAGACTGGCTCAGGTTCCTCTTCACCAGCAGGTTCAGAGCTCAAACCACCCCCTACTTCAGTACTAGCGGAGCTACCATAGCCGACAACTTGAGCATTGCCGTTATACCCATTCCCTGCATATGCAACCTCAGGCTCACTGACCTGAGGGTTGTTATCACGCCCATCCATCAAACTAGCATCTTTTAAATTATAATAGCTACCAACATTGTTCTCTGGAGCACTGGTGTCATATCTATACGCAACCTCAGGTTCACGAACCACAGGGCTGTTATAGCGTTCATCCCTTAAACTAGCATAGTTATCTTTAACCACAGCCATGTTAGGGCTGCGGTAGAAATCTGGAGCCCTGTAATTGCCAGGGCCAGCACTGGAACTGGCCTCTTGAAGAGCAGGAAGTTCAGGAGCTTTGTTAGATCTTGGTACGGGTACACCTGGTAGATGGGAGCTGCTGCCCAGGTCAGAACTCGCCCCTCTTCCCCAATACCCATAGTTAGAAGGGGGTGGCCAATGCATGAAGCGTGGAGCAGCAGCTTCTGTTTCAAAAGGAAAAACATGTTAGCACTTTATTTTATTGTAAAAATCTTAAGGCAATATCGTCTCACCTTGTTGTATAGGATGACAGGTTATGTAGCCAATAAGCATGCAGGAAATCCACAACATCCTGCAGAGAGATTTCATTTTAGATTAGGTTTAAATCTTACCAATCAATAAGCTACAAGTCAGTTATCTACTCACATGATTTTTGTTAGGTAAATTCAGGATATGTATGCTGTGTGATTTCTTCAAGCAACTGTAGAGGTAAAGCATAGACAAAAGTGGTCATATTAACAATTAGGTAGCACAAAGTACAAATAAAAAAATTAAACACCCAAACCACAGTTAATACCTGCTAACTGCAACAAGCGTCTCCAACAAGTAGCTTTCCACAATGTCTTCAGAATCCAAAGAAGCTTCTTTTAAAGGATCCTCAAGGCTGTGTTAATTACTGTTTAAGTGGGAACACCTGCCAACAAGGACACCTGAGGTGTGTTCAATGTGAAAAGGTCCAGCAGCCTTTCATTGACAATACATTGTATGAATCATGAATAAAACATTGAAAAGACACAAGTGTGTCGGGAGCAACCTACATTTATATATTATATGTTTGTACAGTAAGTGCGGCTAAAGAATAAAAATACTAAGTGTTCAAAAAATGTATTAGTTGTTGAATTGTCTTTGTTTTAATTTTTATATAATGCATCCGGAAAGACAGACTAGACTCAATTAAATTCAATTACATATTGTGTTTGAAGCAGCATTCATTCATTCATTTATTTGTTGTGGTTTTTGATGGAAAGCCTTGGTACAGGAGATTTGTCCGGCAGTGGCTCAGTCAGTAGGGGCTTGGACTGTGAGCCGCAGGGTCGCCGGTTCAAGTCCCCGAACAGACCTAAATATGGAGTGTGGACTGCTACTTGGAGAGGTCCCAGTTCACCTCCTGCCCTGCCGTGGTGCCCTTGAGCAAGGCACCGGACATCCCCCTTCCCCCCCCCACTCCCATTGCTACCCGGGCGCTGTACCATTGGCGTAGCTGTGTAACCACATTGGTTTCCAAATCAGTAAGCAACTCAAATGTTTAGCCTTGAATATTGAAGTGGCAAAGGGTCAACAGGTCATGGTGGTGGGCTGTTACAGACCCCCCTCAGCAGTCAAGGAATCTTTGTCTTCGTTAGCAAATCTTTTATCTCAATTTGACTACAAGGAAATAGTGCTACTTGGCGATTTTAACTGGGACTGGTTAACTACAGTGTCAGAGGATTTTAAAAACCTTTGTATCTCATTAAATGTTACTCAGATTGCAGACAGTCCTACTCGCCCAAATATTAAGTCCCCAAATAAATCCTCCTTAATTGATCTCATTTTAACTAATGTTCCCCATAAATACTCATCTGTGGGAGTATTTGCTAATGATTTGAGTGATCACTGTGTTGTAGCCACAATTAGGGACACAAAAGTCCAAAAGGGTAAACCTCGCATTATCATAAAGAGAGAAACAAAACATTTTGTGGAGCAGGGTTTTGTACATGATCTGTTTGGTTTTGATTGGGGAAAATCGATCTGTGTGATGATGTTGAAACTGCATGGTCTTATTTTTATCTTGGTTTTATGGAAATTATTGATAGACATGCACCCCTGCGTAAATTTAGAGTGAAGGGACGAGACAATCCTTGGTTCTCTGCTGAATTGTCTAGTCTCCTACATGAGAGAAACAAGGCCTGGGCAAAGGCTAGGCAATCAGGCTCAGAGGTAGAATGGCTTTGTTTTTGGCAGCTAAGAAATAGCTTCACATCGCAAATCAAAAGTGCTAAGTCTAAGTATTATCTGTCAGTTACCACAAAAAAGCCTAAATAATCCTAGAACATTTTGGAAAGCCATTAAATCGTTATCCACCGGTGAAATCCGTAATGAGCTACCTCCTTGCCTTGCCACAGCATCTGGCACTATATCGGCAACTGTGTAGATCCCTCCATTAAGGAGGCTGTTGTTAAATTGCAGGCTGTTTTTAATATTATTCAGACTCAGCTCTCTGAACTAAAGCTTCTTTTAAATGTTGATAAAACTAAGGTAATGCTATTTTCAAAAGCCAAAAAGACACCAGGGACCACTTTGGATATTGTTACTGCGCAGGTCTCCCTTGTAAAAGAAATCGTTGATCTCAATGGGATTTTTTACATGGATAAATAAAGGCTACAAACAAGGAAAAATACTTGAGGCGGTTGCCTGTTATAAATACCTTGGTATCTGGCTCTTTTAAACTTCAGGTCAATAATCTGCTTAAAAAGCTGAGGGTTAGGCTAGGTTTCTTTTTCAGAAACAAGTCCCGTTTCTCACTTGAGGCCAGGAAAAGGCTAATCACTGTGACCTTTTTACCTGTGCTGGACTATGCTGATCTGGTGTATATGAATGCACCTGCCCATTACCTGATCAAGTTAGATGCCGCTTATCAGTGCGCTGAGATTTTTGACAAATTGTAAAGCGCGTACTCCTCACTGTACCCTGTATGCCAAGGCAGGTTTGCCATCACTTACTGTACGGAGGCTCACTCATTGGTACATGTTCATATATAAAGCCATGTTGGGTAAACTCCCGTCTTATATCTGCTCTCTGATCACACAGAGAGTTGCAAGTAGCTATTGCCTGAGATCTCATGTTGTGGTTTTGTTACATGTGCCAAGTGCTAGGACTCACTTAGGGACGAAAGCTTTTATGTGCGCAGCTCCTCTTGCTTGGAACAGTCTGCAAACTGAGCAATTTGGTTTCCACTGCCTGTTTTTAAAGCACGGATAGATGCATTATCTGATACTGTTGGTACCTGTAAATGTTGATATGTACATTGTAAACCTGTGTTGTATGATGTCCTTTTAGTTTTTCTGTTGTTTTCTGTCTTCATGTGCAACCTACTGCTGCAAGTCTCCCTTGAAAAAGAGATCGATGATCTCATTGGGATTCACCTGGTTAAATAAAGATTTGAAATGAAAACGTGTTTTGTGTCCCATGGCTAAAAATGATAATACTTCTGTAAACACAAGCATTTAAAAAAATAAAACTAAATCCAAACCAACGCAAGGCCATCCCCTTTTCACGGTTTCTACAGAGCAGTTGGTTGCTGCAGTTTAAGTTGAAAGCATTTGTAAAAGTTTTGCAATTTCACCAAAGCAACATTCCAAAAATAAAGACAGATTTACAAAAGCCTTTGTGAAAGCACAGTTTATTGGTATATTGACATTAAGAAAAGCAGCAGTCAGTCATCTGTAACTGAAGACCTGCAAAAGCAAAAACATTTGTGAATCATCAGTTGGATAATGGATACAGAAACAGGGCATTTAGCAAATTGTGTCTTACCAGCAAGGTCTTTAGAAGACATATTTGCTTTGAGCGTTACCAGCAGCACTTTCCCTGGGGTTGCCGTTGTGTCTGGGTAGTGGCATGGGCCAGGGAACAGGCTCTCCTGGGATGTAGCGGGTTTGAGCAGCTTGTGACCTTTTGCGTTGGTATCTCGAACGCGAGCTAAAGGAGGAGACTGGCTCCAGACCAGCCACCTCGCTGAAGACTGGCTCAGGTTCCTCTTCACCAGCAGGTTCAGAGCTCAAACCACCCCCTACTTCAGTACTAGCGGAGCTACCATAGCCGACAAATTGAGCATTGCTGTCATACCCATTCCCTGCATATGCAACCTCACTGACCTGAGGGTTGTTATAGCGCCCATCCATCAAACTAGCATCTTTTAAATTATAATAGCTACCAACATTGTCCTCTGGAGCACTGGTGTCATATCTATACGCTGCATAAGCAACCTCAGGTTCACGAACCACAGGAATGTTATAGCGCTCATCCCTTAAACTAGCATAGTCCTCTTTAACCACAGCCATGTTAGGGCTGCGGTAGAAATCTGGAGCCCTGTAATTGCCAGGGCCAGCACTGGAACTGGCCTCTTGAAGAGCAGGAAGTTCAGGAGCTTTGTTCGATCTCGGTACGGGTACACCTGGTAGATGGGAGCTGCTGCCCAGGTCAGAACTCGCCCCTCTTCCCCAATACCCATAGTTAGAAGGGGGTGGCCAATGCATGAAGCGTGGAGCAGCAGCTTCTGTTTCAAAAGGAAAAACATGTTAGCACTTTACTCCATTTTATTGTAAAAATCTTAAGGCAATATCGTCTCACCTTGTTGTATAGGATGACAGGTTATGTAGCCAATAAGCATGCAGGAAATCCACAACATCCTGCAGAGAGATTTCATTTTAGATTAGGTTTAAATCTTACCAATCAATAAGCTACAAGTCAGTTATCTACTCACATGATTTTAGTTAGGTAAATTCAGGTACATTCAGGATATGTATGCCGTGAGATTTCTTCAAGCAACTGTAGACGTAAAGCATAGACAAAAGTCGTCATTAACAATTAGGTAGCACAAAGTACAAATAAAAAAATTAAACACCCAAACCACAGTTAATACCTGCTAACTGCAACAAGCGTCTCCAACAAGTAGCTTTCCACAATTTCTTCAGAATCCAAAGAAGCTTCTTTTAAAGGATCCTCAAGGCTGTGTTAATTACTGTTTAAGTGGGAACACCTGCCAACAAGGACACCTGAGGTGTGTTCAATGTGAAAAGGTCCAGCAACCTTTCATTGACAATACATTGTATGAATCATGAATAAAACATTGAAAAGACACAAGTGTGTCGGGAGCAACCTACATTTTTATATTATATGTTTGTAAGTGCGGCTAAAGAATAAAAATTGTGTTCAAAAACTGTATTAGTTGTTGAATTGTCTTTGTTTTAATTTTTAAATAATGCATCCGGAAAGACAGACTAGACTCAATTAAATGACATTACATATTAGACATACATATATTTCATTTTCACTGACCCAAGAGAGGCAGACACTTACATCCGGTAAAAATGTAAAAAAATAAAACAAGTATATTATCATGATTACTAACTTGACTACACTCAAACTTGATCCACGTATGAAAAGCAATAATAGCATTCAAAACATTGAAAAGCGTGTATTAATGACATGAGTGTAGCCTACGTTATGCATATTACATTCCTGGCTGGCATTGTATGAAGAACACGTGATTGACTGTTCTTGGGCAAATACAAATTCCATTGCATAAATAATGAGGCTTTTATTTTGAAAGATAAAAGCGGAAGTCAAGTGTGTCGGTTAACCAAGTAACGGAACCGGGGCTAGTTGCCAGAAGTTGTTTTGTTGAAACCCGTTAAGTAAGGACGAAAGTGTTTTTCATCATAAAGATGGTTGTCTGGTTCTAGTTTTCGAGAAAAATAAGGGTAGTAATTGTCACGACGTTTAAACTTTATTTTGCTGTGCGTCATGATTTCCAATCACAGGCCGCCGCCAAGTGACCGAGGAAAAGTTATAGACCGTCGATGCAACTAACTGGAGTTGAATGGGAACGGAGACACACTTTAAATTAGAAGATGCATTTTGGTGTCCCCGCTAATTCGCTGCTGCTCTTCCGTGCCTGCGACGAGGGGGACTATGAAACAGCCCGAGGTATCCTGGAGCCCGGAGCCCCAAAAGAGTCCGGGAGGCAGAGCAGGCTGCGGTCAGAAGTGGGGTCGGAGTGCAATACCGTGGACATGTTGTCTCTGGTACCGGTGGACTCTACGGACGAGGAGGGGAACACCGCCCTACAGTTTGCCTCAGCCAGCGGTCATGAGAACCTGGTCCGGTTTTTGCTACGAAAGGGGGCATCGGTGGATAGCCGCAACAACTACGGCTGGACCCCGCTGATGCAGGCTGCTAGGTGGGGCTGCGTGCTGGAGTTCATAACACTGTTCTAAAGTCATAGGAGAAGGACTCACCAACCTTCATTAAAACTCTGGTGATCTTAAGTTTGTCATTTCATGCTGGTGTTGGTAAAAACTTCACAATACAGTGAAGACATTATCAGGAGCCACTCTTTAATTTGTCAACTAGAAACGGCCACATTTCTTCCTTTTTTTTGGTTGCATGGAGTTTGGCGGAGCATCATGTGTTTACTATCTTCTTTTTACAATTCAATAAGCTTTATTCTAATCATTCAGTTCAATTTGAATGTTTTTAGCCTTTTTCTTGGTGCATTTTGGTGTCTGAGGCCAAATCGTGTTCATATCTTTACTAATCTTTTCATCGGGTTAAAAAGGGATAGATAATTAATATCTACTAGCATTGTTATTAATGCAAACATTGCATGTGTTTGCTCTAATGGGTCACAGCAACGGTCTGATGAACAACACCTGTCTAGCTGTCTATAAGTAGAGTTCTCATGTTTGTGTGCCAATCTATAAGATGCTCACATTTCCTTTCAAAATTGTGACATAACTTAATTGACATAATGAAAGTAGGACTGTGCCTTGTCAACTTCCTGAGAGTTGATTCTTAAGCTAGGAAGAAATGTTTACTTAAACCGCATTTCTTATTATTTGTCCCTTATTCTCCACCCAGGTTTGGTCACCTGACTGTAGCCCACATCCTGTTGGAGAACGGGGCAGAGATTAACGGACGGAACCGGCTCGGTGCAAGTGTTCTGACTATGGCCGCTCGTGGGGGACACACGCATGTAGTCAAGCTACTCCTGGAGAGCGGGGCCTACGCTGATGACTACGATCATCTTGCTATTGCTGCAGAGGCAGTATCCAACGGCAACAACAACAACAGCTGCAGGTAGGGGCTGTTTATGCCAGACAAACTAAAACAAAACAAAATTTAGATTACCTTTAAAAAAAAAAGTGTAGTCTTCAACTTTTGTTTATCAGTTTCTTCCAAACTAATGTGGCTTTCTCTTTTACAGTGGGAACGGTTTTGGAGGAAGTGAAAGCTGTCTAGGAGACAGTGGCGGTAGAGAATTCATGGACATCATAGCCTTGATGGTCGCGTCTCAGCATGGCCACGAGGCCACGGTGCGCCTGCTGCTAGAATGGGGCTCTGATGTCAACTTTTCTCAGAAGACCACTGGCTGGGGACCACTGATGGTGGCCACCCTCAGCGGGAAGGTGGGTTCAATGGATAGATAAACCAGATGGACGGATTGTGTGTGATGTGTATCTTTGGAATATCTTGATAAATAAAGTGGGTGTGTTTCGTAGGTGGCTGTGGCTCAGCAGCTGGTGGAGCGAGGAGCGGACCCAGACAGGATCAATGTTCTGTCCAAGACGGCCTTTGAACTAGCCATGCAGCTTAAACAGAGAGACATCAAGGCTTATCTGGACTCCATCACCACTGTGCGACCACAGACAGGTAAGGCTTCCTTCCCAGATAGTCTGAAAATGAGTTGAATTCTTGGAACTTATTTTTGTGTTTTTATTCAGTTTAATAGAGAATTTAAATCTGTCTCTTTTTCAACCTATATCTACAAATGACAACCTCTCTGTGTGTTGCTGTTTTGCAATGCAATTATCACTGATGTGTGAACAAAACCAACAATGGCAGCTGTCAGCCTCTTTGATGTTCAATAGCTCTTCTCACCGGCAGCTCTTAGCTCAGTTTTCTTTTCTACATACAAGCCTTTTATTTTAATTTGAAAGGACATTGCATATGATATGTCCTTCTGAAACTAAACATTAACCTGAGCTCACTTCTGGCTACACTGTTTGACACTTACATGTAAGCTACCAATCAATAACGATAAATGGTTACATACTTTAATGTAAAAGCAGTGCCATTGGCAGGGCTACAAATTATAGGTAAAACATCATTTAGTGGTTTTACCCTAAATGTATTAAACAATCTTGGCAGCACTGAACATTTTCCTTTTACAGCATGTTTTAAATATATCTTTAAGTGTAATGTGTTTCTTCTTTCTCTATTTTTAAAGTACACTTGTGAGTGGGGAGCTCAGCAGTGATTAATATTTATTTACATAACCCTCCTCACACACACTTACACACAGATGATGCTGAGCTATGTGGAGTCAGGCCAAGTAGAACTGTTGTTTCAGTATATCACTGACTTTCTCCACAGACGATGAGAGAAGAAGACCAGATGTGTTCAGTGCTCTCAAGTTGGGTGAGTTAAATTGAACATTCAAAGATCAAAACTAAACACATTAAAATGGGATTTGTACTAAAACATGTGTGTTTCTTTACTCAGGAAATTCACAGCTGGTCAAGGAGATCTTGGAGGAGGATCCTACTCAGGTGAACTCATCCAATCAGGAGGGAGCGTCGCCTCTCATGATCGCGGCAGTGAGTGGTCAGCTAGAGGTGGTGCAGCTGATGGTGGATAAGAAGGCCGACATAGACAAACAAGACGGTGTCCATGGGTGGACCGCTTTAATGCAGGCCACCTATCATGGGTAAGAAGGAAATAATTGTAGGTAAATTGATCAAAGGTAATTTTTTTATGATTGCTGACCTTATCCTACTTTCCCACTCTTCTTTTGTGTTCTCCGTCTCCCTCCTCCTTTCAGTAATAAAGACATTGTCAAGTACCTGTTGAGTCAAGGGGCTGATGTCAACCTCCGAGCTAAGAATGGATACACAGCCTTTGATTTGGTCATGTTGCTGAACGACCCAGGTACCCCCCACTTTTATCACTTTACTCGAACACCTCTTTGAGAAAATGTGCTCTTGTTTAAAACACTTCCCTTCCAAAAATGATATAAATAGCAGAACTATTACAAAATCATAAATCCACCATTTGTGAAAACAGCAGAACCCATTTGAAAAGATAATAGCAGGTATTTGTCTCTTTTATCAAGTAATCTTAATAATTTTTAGTTGGGACATAGTGTGGAGGTACTTGTGATTAAAAAAAATGTTTTTACTCAGTGAATCCTTATTTATTTTCTCTCTTCCTATTTTGGATATTTTTAGATACAGAGTTGGTGCGTCTGTTAGCATCAGTTTGTATGCAAGTAGACAAGGACAAGTCGAAACACCGTGGCAAAGCATTAATAACTCGCTCCAAAAGCCGACAGTCCCTCAACAACGTCCCTGTGCCACCTGACGAGAAGGGAGGCCTAAAGGTAAAGGACAAGTCCTGTGAATACAAATCCAAACCATCTAACACTGATCAATTATATTAAACTAAAAATCACATTAACATGTCGGACTTCCTTCCAGTCCTGGTGGAGCCGGATGTCCAATCGGTTCCGTCGGCTTAAGTTGACTCACACACTGAGGCACAGTCTTTCATCCAACCGACTGGCTCCATTTCCAGACGATGCTGAAGCTTCATTGGATGCCACAATGAAGGCGGATAGGAAGCAGGCTGCTGTGTCTAATGCGGCGCTGGCATCAACTTCTGCCATGGGGGGGAACGACAACAACACTGCTTGGGCTGTCAAGAGCAAAGATTCTGGTGAGACAGAGAATAATATGAATTCTTCATCCGTTTTAGAGCACAATTACTGTAGTCTGTAACAAATAAGATGTTTAGATTATCAGGGGAACTCTACCAATTTCACACATCAAGTCTATTCGTGCCTTGTGTAGCTCCAGAGTGATCTGCTGCTTTTAAATGTTGGCATTGTTTTTCACGGGTGGGGAGTGACTGCATATCTTCATGTTGATCCTTGAATTCGGAAAGATGTCATACAGTCGTTGTATATCAAAAGACAAGGAGGTCAAATGTGTAAATGTAATTTAATTGTTCCCTTTTCAGGTCTTGGCAGGGCAAACTCAGAAAAGGAGGACTTTCTAATAACCACAATGGTAGGAGGGTTGGATTTGATTTAAACTTTTTAAGCTTGTTGTGAATAAATGACCCTACCTAGACCAAGAGCGTTACTGGGTTATTAAACAACGTTTTCTATGCCCTCTAGCTCAGGAGTGGTGCGCCCTTAACCCGTCTGCCCAATGACAAACTCAAAGCGGTGATCCCTCCCTTCCTGCCTCCGTCCAACTTTGAACCGTGGAACTCTGACCGCTCGCGTCTCCTCAGGGAGGGGAAGAGCGAAACACCCCGCCTGCCCATGCCACCCCAGAGGAAGCTGAACAGCAGTGGAAACTCAGATATTGTGAGTGTTTGTTTGTCAGAGGACTGGTGCTTGTATAAAACCATGTTTGATGTCATTCACATGTCTTTTTTCCTATATTCTCCTCTCTCAGACATCTATCAGTCGTGTGGTTAGCAGGTCCATAAAGTTTCCCAGCATCCCTAAAGGCCCTTCCTCATCCTCTCCTTCAAACTCTGGTCACTACCACTCCCCCCACTCTTCAGGAGGCTCCAATGGAGTGGCAGGAATCAACCGGGACTCGCACAACCGTTCAGGTTTACACAAATTAATAAACATACGGTGACACTTAGTTAACTGTAGCCATCTGGTAACATACTCTTTTGTCCACCAGGGGGCAGCGCAGACAGTGTTCTCTCCCAGATAGCAGCCCAAAGGAAGCGAGCAGCGGGCCTGATAGATGTGAAGACACAGGCTCCAGAAAAGCCGCCCAGCCAGACCCACAGCCAACCCTCAGTGCCCCCCCCAGCTGACCGCCTGCCGCTGCCTGATATCAGCCTCCCTGAAATCCACTCCCACCAAAGCCTGGTCGCTCCTGACATCCACTCCAGAAGGGTCTGTGTGTTCTCTTCTGTCATAACAGTGTCAAAAAAGTGTTTAAAAGTTTATTCTATAGTGTCAGTGAATCCACCCTTCTCCTTTGTAGAAGATGGATTTAAAGAAGAGACCTCAGTCTGGTAACTCCTCCACATCCAAGAGCACGTCGCCCACTCTGACTCCGTCTCCCTCCCCAACGCCAAAGCCCCCCACCGGGCCGGGAGATTCTCTGTCCTCAGCCTCCTCCCATCCTCGCTCCAAGAGCAGTGGTGGCTCGAGCAGTGGAACCATAACGGATGAAGGTGATACCATCGTTCTGTTTGCAACATGTTTGGCCACCGCACAAGCATTAATTCCACACTTATTTAGCAAGTAGGCTGATGTTTAAGGGAAAGCTTTTATTATTTATGCAGTAATTAGTTGTTGGTAACTCATTCTTGATCACTTATGATGGACCACTTTGTGCTCATTAGATCTTGACATATAATAATGAACACACATGAGGTTACAAGTGTCAACCCCTTTATCTTCGAATCATAACATTTTTTTTTTTATGTTCTTGCCTTTTCCAGACGAGTTGTCGGGTATTTTGAAGAAACTGTCCCTGGAGAAATACCAGCCCATATTTGAGGAACAGGAGGTATTTGTCAAAATTGAATTCCAATACATTTTTCCTTCAAATATAAAGTCTGTCTCTTTCTTTCGATTTTGATTGTTCTGTTCTCAAAGCAAATGGACCGCCTTTCCCATAACATCATTTTTTTTAAAGGAATGCATGGACTGAACAGTTTTGCACTCATATTGAGGTGAAAGTTGTAGATATCTAATTTATTGCACATAGTTCATACAGTGTTTTTTTCTCGTCTTTTAGGTGGACATGGAGGCGTTCCTGACTCTAACAGATGGAGACCTGAGGGAGCTGGGCATTAAAACAGACGGACCCAGACAACAGATCTTGGCTGCCATATCAGAGCTCAATGCTGGGAAGGTGCATACTTTTGAAAAAAACGTTTTCTCTCCAGGAAAACTTTGTTTCCAGCAATCTCTGTAATCTAACTATAGAGAGCAGAGATGGGCAGAAATGCTTTGAATAAGTACAGAATTAGTATCATCTTTGCCTGAGAATGTTAACTTGTTCTAATACTGCTGTTGGTTGTCATCAGGGCCGTGAAAGGCAGATCCTTCAAGAGACCATCCATAACTTCCAGTCTTCCTTTGGTAGCAGCGCCAGTAACACAAGACAACCAGGTGAATCACGCTGTGAGTGTCAAAAAACTAAGTTATCAAATCCAGTGGAATTTGAGCACGTAAACATGCAAAGACAACATCATAATCTGTCTCCCTACCACTTTATCTGATTTATTTTCTCTTTCTCCACCTTTTTTCCCTAGCACCAACAGGTTGGATGAGACACCAGGTTCGTTCCGCCAACAAAAGGTAGCCCAGCAGCCCAGATGTGCAACAGTACATCAAAGGTACTTAGAATAAGACTAAAACGCTGGCAACCTACAGCCAAGGTACGACTTAAATGGAGTCTTCTGGACGTGTCCCAGACTACTCGTGCAATGGGATGCTGCAGCAAAACAACCAACAAGACCCTGGAAAAACTGCTTATAGGATCAACCCCATTAAATAATTCCTCTTATGGATCCTAAAGCAGGAAAGGTATGACGGGGCTGGTTGAGTCCAAAGCAGAATCATTTGCAACGCACAAATGTCGCAAAATCTACTGCTAATGCAGCGAAAAGGGTTACGCAAAGGGGGTTGAGAGTAGAGAGTATCCGAACAAATGTGAGAGACACAGCCTATGTGTTGTTAAAACGGAAAGGTAAGTCAGGAGAAAGAAAGAGACAGATTACGAGTATAACAATAAAAAATACTTACAGGTACTGTATTAGTGATACTGTGATTGAGACTTAAAAGGTGCACTGATGAGAAAAGAATATGAAGTGAGGGAAAAAAGGGATATAAGCAAAGGTTTATTATAGTCATCCATTCTCTGGGACAGTTTTTGCTAGTGTGTTTATGTCTTTTATGTCTTCATTTTATAATATGTTTCTTAATGCTCTTAATGTCTTTCATTTTTGTAAAGCACTTTGAATTGCCTTGTGTTGAAAGGTGCTATATAAATAAACTTTCCTTGCCTTATAGGCCACTATGTAAAAAAAGAGGATTTTTATTTAGTAGATAAATAAACATGATGATGCATAAGGTTTTTTTTTTACAGTTCAAGGTTTTATTTGACTTAGAATGAGAGGACATTGGCAAAAACACATTTTGGGATTGTTTTATGAGCAGTATACATTAAGATTTAATGACGGGCATTGTGCAAAAGTTTCCACTGAGCCTGTTCTATGTTTTTGCATCTGGCTCCGTCCTTACGAAGCACTACATCATTCCAAAATATTCGGTACTTAAAATCCAAGATTTAAATCCACCGGATGGTTTGTGTTCACATGGGTCGGATCAATATGAGATGAAACCGATATCATATCCTGTTTAGTAGTGTTCTGTGCCTGTGGAAAGATGAATAAACATTCTGTACGCTTTCAAAGAAGAATCTGGATGATGAATTGAATCATTAAAAACATGAATGAAATCTGTGAAATGCTTCAGAACAAAAATAAACTTCCACAAGATGGCGGTGACCTTCTATTAATGTGTGATGGTTATGTTAAGCTCCCTAAAATGCGTCCTTGCTCATTTGTACTTGAATGTCTAAGTGATTTTACTCAGTACAACCTTGTGATTCTTTTACTTTTGTGAAAAGCTATGTTTTAGCATTTAGCATTATGCTGTAATTTTCACTTTTAGGTTCTCCTTAAAACCACTGTAACCAATGTAAAAAAGAAAAGTGTTCTACGACTGAAACTGAGATCTTTTTCCAGAGAAGTTTAAGAAGCATACAAATACTCTGCTTCAAATATTTCAATAAGGTCTGATATGGTTCTATTATTATTTCACTTTTTTTTCAATTCCCTTCTTATAAAAACGAGTTTATAAATATGCAATTCTTTTTGAAAGGCAATCTGCTGGATACCTGAAAAATCAGTTATTTTTGTATCTGCATTGGACACTCATCATACTTGTGCAAGTCCAATTCTGGATCATGAATTGCTTCCAAACCTTTTGTCACAAAATCCTGCCTGTACATTTATGTTTTACACTGAGGTTTATGTTTAAAAGTGAAGCTCAAATATCCAAGTGAAGTTAGTTTAGTTTAGTTTTCATTAGACACTGTGAGCAAGATCAGCTAAGCGAATGTGTTTTAAATTAGAACTCCTTCATTAAACACAGACCGACCCCAAAACATGACCAAATAGTGACACACTGGGGTTGTCGAAATAATTTTTGATGACCTGGATAAAGACTGGCCCGACAGACAGGGGACAGGGGTAGAGTTTAATGAAAAGCATCACTCAATGTAGAAAAGCTTTCCTCTCCGGGGGCTGTGGCAGATTGAGTGTTCAGATGTACAGTCATATGTTAGCTGTAAAAAAAGCAGGAGAGAAAAATACATTTGGAATATATTAACATTGCTGTGGCATGTGGGCAGCAAATTGAGTGACTCATTCAATTTCCTCCCAATTGAATTCATTCACATATGGTTTTGATTGGATTCTAATACCATTTAATAATATTATTGTCAAAACAGTAGTCATGCAGTAGTTAAATTAACAACATATACAGATCATGGGTCCCTTAAAGAAGTCACAAATGTAAATACTCACCATTTCTTTGATTTTATAAATTATTTTCTTTAAAACTCTATTTGTAACTCTTTTGCTACTGGTAAGATTCCGACAGTCTTAGCCAAGATATCTGCCTCATCAGCTGAAAATGGTCTCCTGTCTGTGGTAAAAACGGCTGACTGAAGAACCCCGAGTTAAGATCTCCAGAAGAGATACATTTTCATTAAGGGCCAGTTTTCCGATCTTCATTGCCTGTCACAGTACATATTGTACTTCTAAAAGGACACACTAAGGATAGACAAAACTAAACCTTACCGGTATATTGTACATGTGTAAGAAAATATACAATACTGTCAAGATTTAAGGAAGCTTTGAAAATTCACTCATGCAAATGTGCTGCAAAAGTCTATTTTAAGATAATTTAACTATGGTCAGCACAATAATTTACATGTTCAAATGTACTCTAATCTACCTGTTAAAAGAAATGCAAGATAAATTGAAAAATATTAAACCCAATGAGTTGTGATGGTGCTGTCCTCCCACAGGTGTGTGTGCAGGTGTTTGGGACTCCATTGCCCAACATGGAGTAGTGTCCTGTCATTTGGGAATCTTCCCTAAAAGCTTGGACGTCATTACAATGAAATTCACTTTGTGGCCTCTGGCTGTACAAGCCTGCGCGGTTTTTATATGTGCATCACCCAGGGCAATGGCTTTACGTGTGTGTGTGTGTGTGTGTGTGTGTGTGTGTGTGTGTGTGTGTGTGTGTGTGTGTGTGTGTGTGTGTGTGTGTGTGTGTGTGTGTGTGTGTGTGTGTGTGTGTGTGTGTGTGTGTGTGTGTGTGTGTGTGTGTGTGTGTGTGTGTGTGTGTGTGTGTGTGTGTGTGTGTGTGTGTGTGTGTGTGTGTGTGTCAGAATTCTCTTTGTTACACAACACTTTGGCCCTTTCCCTGTATCTCTGCCCCCCTTTCTTTTGGTGTGTACTTCACAATCTCACACAAATACAAACGGGTTTCACTAAAACAGGATGTTGCAGTGACATAATAATAAACCTCAACCTCCCTCTGACCCTGGTGCTGAACATAAAATGACCTCCGAAATACTCAAATCCAAATATCAACCAAAGATTATCCCCACAAAAACTGAAACACAATTTCCCCTCTCAAAATAATTGGCAGCCCTGGACGCGGGGACACGTGGCAGGAAAGCACCAGTTTGAAGTGTCCTGTATTTTGTAGCATTTGGCTCCATTTGGGGATATTACCTAGTCTGTAGCCAGGGAAAAACTGATTTGGAGATAAAAACACTGTAATATAGCTGCACTATTGTTGATATTGGGATGAATAAGTCCTGTATATGCGTGTCTTTACATAACAAATTAGATCAGCAAGATAAATTAAGTGATTTTTCTGACCATTTTGCTTGACTCAAAAATCTCATATATAGTTTTGATTAACACCTTTTTTCCAATCGTACAGAGCATATTTGAATCTTAGAATTTTCTTGAAGATAAGAGCAGTCTTTTGGATCCCTAACAATCTGTAATGACTGCTTTACATATCTCAGAATTGTGAATTTTCTCTGTTTTGTAGTTATATGCTGTCATGTCATGCAGTTCACTCAGTGCCTTTCAGTTCATTGTCTAATTTTGTCCTGGATTTCAGTCTCAGTCTTATGCGATCAAAGCAGATCTATTCCTTGTCCTTATAAAACCTTCAATCTGTTCAAATGTGGTATTAAACACATCATGGTTAGGGTTTGTTCCAGCATTTGTGAAAGCAAATGGATTCAAATTAGTTGGAACGGCACTATTGTTTCTTGCATGCTGGAGTGTTTATGCACTGTAAGGCTCAGAACATGCGTCCTGTTTGACCTAGCAGGACCTCTTCAGCTGGTCATGTCCATTAAACATTATCTGCTGTCATGGATTATACTCCACAAATCCTGACAACACAATTCCTACTTTGCAACAGCGTTTTTCCAGATCTCTCCTTTCAGGCTCATCTATGGGTCATCACATATATCCGCACCGTTGTTAAAATGGACAAAATTTGGACCGACAACTTAAATTCCACTGTATGTAGTGTATATAGTGTTACATGTTAATTATGTTTTTGGTTTGTTTTTCTGATATCGACCATCCCATCCATTATGAATGTCCATTAGAATCAGACTTGTCATGTCCCTGCTCTGCACGCCTCCTGAAATTCCCTGGTGACGCTAACACAGACATCATAATCAATGAAAGCCATACTATTGCAGCTGGCAGATGGCTTTCAGGAAGTCCTACTTGGCTCCGTGGTCATTGTTCTGAAATGTGTATCAAACCACACACACCTGCTGTAAGCACACACACACAGACATGCACTCACAGGCACCCAGGGTCGCGTGCTAAGGTCTGCCCCTGCGGTGTTAGCGGAGCTTTAAGCCTGAGCTAATCTGGAAGGCAGCTTGGATAGTGTTGCCAGTGGATTTGCATTGATACTAAAGGCCCCAGTGGCTTTAATGGCAGCCTCTGACAGCCTTAAGCATAGTTTCCTATTTCTGGTTGCATGTGTGATCACATATGGCACTACATCCCCAAATTGGTTCTCCTCTACCATGTCATCTTTATTTAAAGACAAAAAGTGTTTATTTATGCATGCATGATACACATAAATACACAAGCAGCAATGTGTGTTGTATTGACTGTGTGTAGTGCTTGAATGTGTACACTAGGGTGCAGTACAGTAGACTGTCTTACAAACTAAAAAATACTTTGCATTTATTCTCAGACTATTCCTGGATTTTATTCAGTGACAAGACACAAAATATTACAGTGGAATACTTTATTAGGTTAACGTTTTGCAAGCAGAAAAAACATTGAAACCTTTTTCAAAAGCTCTGAAACATGTGTTAAAAACACCTGATTTGACATGCCATGCTTCCTTTTTCTACATTACACATCTTCAGTGTAGAATCACAAAGCATGGAGAAAGGACCCTGTCCTGGTGTTTTTTCTCTGATAACAACCAGAGCAGTATCAAAAAGTCAGTATCATTTGTTGCTAGTGTTTTTTTTCTTGCAGGCATTTTTCCAGATGGGATCCAACATTTATCCAAAGTTCAAGCATGTGTGCAATTGCTTATCGCAACCACATAAGCCTTTTTGATGACTAAAATAGTTGTAAACCGATGCACGAATAAACTGTTTTGTATCATGTAAATCCACATGCATTTGAGGAAGTCTGCGGATGCATACCATAAAGCCAAGTTTACACGACGTCTCCCATTCTATTTACCGTAGACCGTGTATAATCGCTTTATCGATCAATGAATAATTAAATTACGTTGCCATATTCAACATACATTGAATTACTTAGTGATTTCAAACAGATTGCAATAGCATTTCCGGTTTAGAATTCCAAAATAAAACTACACACAACAATATCGCTATCGAGGATGTGTTCCAATTCTAATTAAGAAAATGATATACAGGGCAAAGTGCAACATTGGCACCATCAACACTACAACTATACCGGCAACAACACACTATACAAATACAATTGTACTCCTCCACAGATGAACTACATCAGGTAGTTAGATCGGTGACAACGTAATGCTTTTGTTTTGAAGGCATTAGTGTATTTCCGGTGTAAACCTGTTGTTAGTACCGAGCTTGACGCAGCTGCCAAATCTGTCCCAGAAAGCCAACTTGAATTTAAAAGTCCACAGAATAAATTGGTCGGTAAAAAGAAGCCCGGTCCCGTCCAACGCACCATAACCGTATATTCAAGTATAGCAGGTTTCGCTTTTAACTGTTTGTTTGTTTTCTAAAGGGTTGTAAAAGCCTCAGGTCCCTGACTGCCGTCGACCGCGGAAAGCCTCGATGTGAATCTGGAGGTTTGTGCTTCTGCTGCCCTTCGCGTGTGATCCCTCCCCTCGCGCTGCTCCGAAAATGTGTGTGTGCTGCGCGCGGCTGCGCTC